GGGAAATGACGTGGGAAAATACCCGAACAAAGCTGAATACCATACATGTAAATACCCGCGAAAACTTAAGAAAACAAATATATATATATATATATGTATGTATGTGTGTGTATATATGTGTGTGTATATATGTGTGTGTACACATACGTATATATACATACATACATAATACATACATATATATGTGTGTGTGTGTGTTTTTTCATAGAATTAAAACATCAAAAGTTAAAATCAAACATTGAAACCTGAGGACGCATGGCGAGGGTGCAGCTGGGGGGCAGATGAGATCTGTTATTACTCCATCAACCACCTCCCATGCGTTGTACCTCCATTGGGGCTCCAGAGATCTTTAGGCCCTTACAAAAAGATAGGGTTGGATCTGACATCAAGGGGAGGGGGAGGCAAGATGTTCCAGAGGGCAGGAACAACAGCAGAGAAGGCCTTCCTGCTGGACCCCGCCAGCCAGAATAATAATACTCCCTGGTGAGATTCTACTGGTTTAATAACTGGTTTGGTGAGCATGCACAGTGTTTAAAAAACCGCCAATTTACAGCTCTAAAACTTACCTTCTGCAGCGCTGGTGAGTAAAACAGCTGAGGGGTGACAATCTGCTGTGCCGCATCTCAGTTGAGCTGCAAAACACAGAAATATAGGACAGACTAGGGCAGGGATGAGTGGGTGGGGCCAACCAATCGTACCAGTTCGCCCGAACCGGTGCAGACCAATAGCAGTGCACTCCTGATAATCCTCTTTGCTAAGATGCACGCACCCACAACTTAACAGACTAAGAGTTGGAATGGATCTTGGGATCTTCTCGCTCAACCCCCTGCTCAGAGCAGGCGACCTTACACCATTCCAAATAAATGGCTGCCCAGTCTCTTCTTAAAAACTTCCAGTGATGGAGCCCCCACAGTTTCTGGTGGCAAGTTGTTCCACTGATTAATTGTTCCTACTGCCAGGAAATTGCTCCTTCATTCTAAATTGCTTCTGTCCTTGTTGAGTTTCCCTCTGTTGTTTCTTGTCCTGCCTTCAGGTGCTTTGGAACCTAGGTGGACCCCCCTCTTCTTTGTGACAGCCCCTCAATATTGGAACATGAGTATCATGTCACCCCTTGTCCCTTTTTTAAAAATTAAAGTAGACATACCTAATTCCAGCCAGCATTCATTATATGTTTTAGCCTCCAGTCCCCTGATCATCTTTGTTGCTCTTCTTTGCTAATATACATGCACCCACAACTTAACAGAATAACAGAGTTGGAAGAGACCTCGGAGGTCTTCTCGTCCAACCCCCTGCTCAAACAGGAGACCCTGTACCGATGGTTTTGCGGGCCGGTGAGGGGTAGAGAGAAAAAAAAACGGCTCCAAGCAAGTAGTGGGTGCCTGGCCCAGTTCCAATAGAAATGGCACTTAGACTTACATACTGCTTTGCAATCCTCTCTAAGCGGTTCAGCCTCTTGCCCCCAACAATCTGGGTCCTCATTTTACCCACCTCGGAAGGATGGAAGGCTGAGTCAACCTGGAGCCTGGTGGGATTTGAACTGCCAAATTGCAGGCAGTCAGCACAAGTAGCCTGCAGTACCGCATTCTAACCACTGCCACCATGGCTCAAACAGGAGTTGTGGCCCCCTGCCCTATACCACTGCAGACAGATGGCTGTCCAGTCTCTTCTTAAAAACCTCCAGTGTTGGAGCACCCACAATCTCTGGAAGTAAGCTGTTCCACTGATTTAATTGTGTCGCCATTCCGGCGTAACGAACCCAAGCAATTCAGAACTCCGGTGACTGGAATTGTCCTCAGAGGACTTCTTTTTATTGGGTACATCATATCAAGTGTAAAACCAACTCCTAAATATTTCCTGCCAAACGATCCCCTCCCCAACTGTCACAGGTCACCTTGTCCAGTTAGGTTAATTGGCAGGCTCCATGGGCACGCCTGTCCTTCATCCAACACCTGTGGAGATGACCTTGGTTCCCATGAAATAAGTCTGTGTTGTGTCTGGCAAGGCCTTCCTGCCCCCGCCGCCCAATACTGCATGGCAACTGAAAAACAACAAAATGGCTTCAGGAAATTTCTCTCCTTAGTTCTAGGTTGCTTCTGTCCTTGATTAGTTTCCATCTGTTGCTTCTCGTCCTGCCTTCTGGAGCTTTGGAGAATAAGTCAATTCCTCCCCCCACTCTTCCTTATGTCATCTCCTCAAATATTGGAACCCTGCTGTCATGTCTCCCCTGGTCCTTCTCTAGGCTAGCTATGCCCAGTTCCTGTATTCTTGAAAAAGAACAGAATCAAGAGAGTTGGATGGGATCTTGGAGGTCTTCTAGTCAAACCCCCTGCTGAAGCAGGAGACCCTATATACCAGGGGTGTCAAACTCGAGGCCCGCAGGCCGGATCCAGCCTGCAATGTGGTTGGATCTGGCCTGCAGGGCTTTCATGGAAAATTTAAGACCCGTGGGCCAGATCTGACCAAATGGAAAATTTAAGAGGTCGGCCTGTGTCGCTTCAGCCAAGTCTACCCAATGCAAAGAGGAAACATGCCAGCAGTTTGGGGAGTGCCATTAAGCTGGCCACACCCACCTAGTCAGCCACACCCACCCAGGTCAATCACAGCCCTGATGCAGCCCTCAATGAAACTGACATCCCTGCCCTGGACTATCTCAGACAAGTGACTATCCTCTTCTTAAGCTCTTCTTAAAAACCTCCAGTGATGGAGCACTTACAACTTCTGGTGGCAGGTCGTTCCACTGGTTAATTGTTTTCACTGTTAGGAAGTTTCTCTCCTTAGTTCTAGAGGTTGCTTCTCTCCTTGATGAGTTCCCATCCATTGCTTCTTGTCCTGCCTTCAGGGGCTTTGGAGAATAGTTTGACTCCCCTCTTCTTTGTATTGTGTTTCCCCAAAAATGAGACTACCTATATATATTTTTTGCCACCAAAAAATGGCACCAGGTCTTGTTTTTGCTGTCAGAAGCCTTCAGGAACTTCTTCAGTGGCCAGCAAGGCTTTCCTGAAAGCTTCTGCAGCCGATAATTCTGGATCGATCCAGAGCTTTGCTCTCAGCTCCAAGAGGCCTTCAGGAAAGCCTTGCTAGCCTTGCTGGCTGCAGAAGAAACGGGCCGGCAAGGCAGGTATCAGGGTGTGTGAGGCCTGGCTACAACTGTCCAAAGGTAAGTAGTAGGGCAGCTCCACCACCACCCCATCCCCACCCTAGCTTAATGTTTACCCGTCCACTCTGGAGTGGGCGGGGTCTTAATTAGGGCTTATTTTGAGGGTAAAGCTTATATGGGGCGCATGGGTAAAAATCAAGCTAGGACTTACTTTCGGGGTAGGTCGTATTTTCGGGGAAACAGGGTAGCGTCTCCTTAAATATTGGAACCGTGCTCTCATGCCCCTTTTTCCAGTTCACAGAAGCAGAATGTGCCCGCCGTGCCCTGGAACAGCTGAACGGTTTCGAACTGGCCGGCCGGCCCATGCGGGTGGGACAGGTCATCGAACGGCTGGATGGCACCACTGACATCACTTTTCCCGACGGGGCTGATGAACCCGACCGGTCAGCTCTGAGCTTGGGGACCACCGGCTCCCAGCTGCAGCTGATGGCGAAACTGGCCGAAGGTGAGGCTCCCCTGGTAGAAATTAGGCAGCGGGGAATGGACTCCATTACATACTTGGAAAGGCCCTATTGGCAAGGGAAATCATTCCTTTCAGGATTAAAGGGTCCTCGACTTACAAACATTTGTTTGGTGACCGTTCAGAGTTAACAAGGCACTGGACATAGGGAGACTTTATGACTGTTGTTCACGCTTGACGACCATTGCAGCGTCCCTACTGCTTGACAACTGGTTCATATGTATGATGGCCGCAGGGTCCCGGGGGGGGGGGTTTGTCATGTGACCATCTTTTACGACCTTCTGTCGAGCGAGGCCCCTGGGGAAGCAAGCCGGTGTTCACTAACTTCGCAACTGCAGTGATTTGCTTAGCAAATGTGGCCAGAAAGGTGTAAAATGGGGAAAAGCTCAACAATGACTGTCGCTTAGCAGAAATGTTGGGCTCAGTTTTGGTCGTGGGTTAGAATTTGAATTCTTTTATTGGCCAAGTGTGATTGGACACACAAGGAATTTGTCTTGGTGCAAATGCTCTCAGTGTACATAAAAGATACGTTCGTCAAGAGTCAAGAATCATCAGGTACAACACTTAATAATAGTCATAGGATACAATAAGCAATCAAATCATACTAGGAAACAGTCAATAAAAATTGTTAGGGTACAAGCGACAAAGTTATAGTCATACAGTCATAAAAAGGAGGAGACAGGTGAAAGGAAGAATGGGAGGATAATAATAGTGCAGACTTTGTCAATAGTTGGACAGTGTTGAGGGAATTATTTGTTTAGCAGAGTGATGGCATTCGGGGGGGAAACTATCCTTCTGTCTAGTTGTTCTGGTGTGCAGTGCTCTACAGGTTGAAGATTACCTGTGTGCATTAAGATACATATTGAACATTAGTCACATAAATTAGAGCTGGCTAGCTTTGGTTTTTCTCTTGGCCCTTTCCCCACGTTCCTTTTTCCAGCGGCACTTCCTCTCAACACAAGCCCATCTCCTGTCTAAGAAAGATTGACTTTTAAGATCGAACAATCCTATAAGGTTGGTAAGATGGAGGAAATCAGCAGGAGACGCTAAAAGATTCCTCAGCCTAACCTTGCTCGGTTAGGTTCTGTAGGAGTTTATGTTTTGAATCCCATGAAATCCTATATATTGCATTCTCTATGAATAATGTTGCACTGGCTCCAGAGACATTGCCAAACTGTCACGATGCATGCTCAATTGTGCAGAGGAGAAGACTGGTGCGTTACCTGGAAACATAAGGAGAAAAAAAAAAAGAGCTTAGTTATCTATAGGTAGTCCTTGACTTACAACCTCAATTCACCCTGGAATTGTCATTGCTAAGCAGCACAGTTGTTAAGAGAGGTTTCTCGTGACTGCAGGGGTGGGATTCTACTCATTTCAGCCCGGTTCAGGTGAAGTGCGCACTCACTGAACCAGTTGTTAACACCGGTTGAATCCCACCACTGCGTGACTCTGCCTGATTTTAGAACCTCTTTTGTTGCGGTCATTAAGGGAATCTGGCTTTGTTCATTGCTTGTCAGAAAACAGCAGGGGAGATCACAAATGGCAGTCGTGACCCCGGGACGCGGCAGTCATTATAATACATGCTGGTTGCCAAGTGTCCCAAGTTACAATCACATCACCATGGACACTGCAGCAAATTCCAATAAAGGAGAATATCTGTCACTCAAGGTTGACATGACAGATCCTTGGTACTCTCTGAGCTTGCTTGTTTTCCTGTAGACGTTTCATGACCCAAACTAGATAACGTCATCAGTGCTAGAACAAGTGATCTACGTAGAGAGGAGGAAGAGATTGTGGAGTTCTCTGAGCTTGCTTGCTTTTTTTTCCAGACATTTCATGACCCAATTAGGTAACAGTGCTGTAAAGTGGGGTAGGGTGGGGTTTGTGGAACGGACAGGAAGAGGAGAAGGAATGTGGAGTTCTTGGAGCTTTCTGAGCATGCTTGTTTTCTTGCAGATGTTTCATGATCTAACTAGGTAACATCATCAGTGTTAGAAGGGAGTGGGGTTTGTGGAATGGGGGAGAAGGGGAGGAGAAAGAGAAAGGGGAGGAAAAGGACTGTGGGGTCCGTGGTGCTTTCTGAGCTTGCTTGTTTTCTTGCAGACATTTCATTACCCAACTAGGTAACAGCATCAGTGCTATTGACTACCCCGTTTCCCCGAAAATACGACCTACCCCGAAAGTAAGTCCTAGCTTGATTTTTACCCATGCGCCCCATATAAGCTTTACCCTCAAAATAAGCCCTAATTAAGATCCCGCCCACTCCAGTGTGGACAGGTAAAAATTAAGCTAGGGTGGGAATGGAATGGGGGGGTGGAGCTGCCCTACTGCTTACCTTTGGACAGTTGTAGCCAGGCCTCGCACACCCCGACACCTGCCTTGCCGGCCCGTTTCTTCTGCAGCCGGCAAGGCTTTCCTGAAGGCCTCCGGAGCTGGTAACAAAGCTCTAGATCGATCCAGAATTATCGGCCACGGAAGCTTTCAGGAAAGCTGGCCACAGAAGAAGTTCCTGAAGGCAAAAAGTAGGCCGGGAGTGACACAAGTGAAGTTAAGTCAGTGGATACATCCCTCGAAAATAAGTCCTGGTGCCTTTTTTGGTAGCAAAAAAATTATTAAGACAGAATCTTATTTTCGGGAAAACACAGTAGCACCGATTATACTACCTAGTTTGGGTAATGAAACTTCCAAGAAAAGAAGCGAGTTCAGAGGGCGCCAAGGACCCCTCACAACAACAGTTGCAAGTGCAGAGACTTAAATAAATCGTTCGTTTCAGCACCGTCACGACTTCAAAACAGTTGCCAAACAATTGGTCGTAAGTCGAGGACTTTCATCTTCTGAGGAGCACTTCATCTATTTCTTTCCTTCTAGAGATGGGAGAGTGACAATCATGACTGAACAACTTCAATAAGGGCCTTTAAATATAATTTAACATAAGAGTGCTATATTAGGCTTGTTATTGGCAAAATCATGGGGGAAGAGACACCAACGCCCATAAGTCACAGCTGGAATACTGTCACCCCTGGATAGAGGGCGGTCTTTTTAACAGCCTCAAATTGAGGCATCCTTGTTCTTCCCACCCCGCAAATACCTTGTCTTCTGTTTGCCTCACACAGCAGGTTCTGGGATCCCACTGTCCACCACTGCAGCGGCCCAGGCTGCTTTACAGCTTAACGGAGCGATACCTTTGGGAGCACTGAATCCAGCTGCCCTGACAGGTAAAGGGGGTTGGGGGGGTCTGGACTGGACTGGACCGAAAGGAGCGATTGGGAGTGGCCCTGAGGAGAAGGGGGAGTAACCCCAGCTCAGCATTTTTCAAACTCTGCAACTTTGAAGGTGCGTGGACTTCTTCTACTGCCGGAATTTCCCAGCCAGCAAATCCAACCTCAGCAACTTTTAAGATGGGTGGGTGGACTTTCCAACTCCCAGAATTCCCCAGCCAACTGTTGGCTGGGGAATTCTGGGAGTTGAAGTCCACCCATCTTAAAGTGGCCAGCTTGCCAAACTAGCCCAATGAATGTTTCTCCAGACTGCTTCTTGCATTACACCAAAGATCACCCTAATTTAGCATCTCCCCCCCCCCCCCCCCCGGGGGGTATTCCTGGTTTCCTAATGCCTTTTTCCCCCTTTCTCTCCCCCATTGTAGCTCTTAGCCCAGCATTGAACCTGGCTTCACAGACACTGGCCTCCCAGTGCTTCCAGCTTTCAGGCCTCTTCAGTCCCCAAACAATGTAAGTCGCTAACCAGCAAAGTCTGTGGGTGTTGGCAGGAAAGGAGCTTTTTCATCTTTATTATGCCTCCAGATTTGACTTGCAGACCTTTTACAACCTAACTAAGATCTATAAGTTATCCCAGGGTGGGTTTTTATCAGTCAGATACTTGAAAACTCAGGTCTTCTCCTCTTCCTCCCCAAAATCTCAACCTGACGATCCTTGGACCCCAAAGTTCCCCACATCCCTTAGATTTCACCGACAAACTGACTTGCCTTGGTGCTCTCTGAGCCTGCTTCCTTGCAGATGTTTCACGACCCAACCAGTGGTGGGATTGAAATTGTTTTACCAGTGCTAGGAGGGAGTGGGATTTACAGAATGGAGGATGAGGAGGGAGGAGTAGGATGACTTCAAAGTCCCTGGTACATTCTGATTCTTGATTGTGGACATTTCATGACCCAATTAGCTGACAACATCAGTGGCATAAGGGAGTAGGGTTTGCAAAGTAGAGGAAAGAAGGAGCAGGAGAAGGAGAATTCGGTGGCGACGGTCTAAGGCAGGGCTGTCAAACTTGTGGCCTGCAGGCCGGATGCATTACGCGCTGGCCATCCCACCCCCATTTTAGCAAAGGGGGAAAAGTTGTGATATGTCACATGATGACAACGTGTCATGAGTTTGACACCCCTGGTTTATAGGGTCCTTGGTGCTTCCGAATTTGGTTGCTTTCTTGCAGACGTTTCATGCCCCAACTTGATAACACCATCAGTCTAGAAAGGAGTTGGGTTTGTGGAGTGGAGGAAGAAGAGGAGGAGGGATAAGACTGTGAGGTCCTTGGTGCTCTCTAAGCTTGGTTGCTTTCTTTTAAGACATTTCATGACCCAACTAGATAACATTATCAGTACTAGAAGGGAGGAGGGGGATAGGATGATGGTGGTAGTCTTTGGTGCACTCCTAGCAGTCTTTGGTGCAGTCCAGTTAGATAACATCAGTGGTAGAAGGAAGGAAGGAGATAGGATAGGATTGGTAGCCTTGTGGGGGTCCTTGCTGCTCTTTGAGTTTGCAGACATTTCATGACCCAGCTTGGTAGCCTCATCAGTCTAGAAGGGCTTTGCCCTTATTTTATATCCTAGTGGCTTGGCCCATCAGTGTTGGCGGGAGTGGTGTTACGGACTTGCTTTGTGGCTTCTCTGGTGCCCAGATTTGTTTCTCGACCCCTAATTCCCCCACTCCCCCCAAATAACTTTCCTCTTCCCTTTCATCATCGTTTTCTACCCTCTGCCATATCTCAGAATAGAATAGAATAGAATAGAATAGAATAGAATAGAATAGAATAGAATAGAATAGAATAGAATAGAATACTTTATTGGACGAACAAGGAATTTGTCTTGATGCAAATGCTCTCAGTGTACATAAAAGAAAAGATACATTCGTTAAGAATCAAGAATCATAACGTACAACACTTAATGATAGTCATAGGGTACAATCAACAATCAAATCATACTAGGAAACAGTCAATATAAATCGTAAGGATACAAGCAACAAAGTTACAGCCATACAGTCACAAGTGGGAGGGGATGGGTGATAAGGAGTGATGAGAAGATTAATAGTAATAGTAGTGCAGACTTTGTAAATAGTTGAACAGTGTTGGGGGAAATATTTGTTTAGCAGAGCGATGGGATTGGGGAAAAAACTGTCCTTGTGTCTAGTTGTTCTGGTGTGCAGTGCTAATCCAGAGTGGCGAGGCCGAGGCACAGAGGAGGAGATGGAAAAGGGCCTTGGGGAGGAAGGAAGGTAGGGTGGAAAAGAAGGCTTCTAACCACTTCTTTCTTTTTTTTCTCCCTTGTTTTCCAGGTAAGGCCACCTAGTCCTCCCTCCCCTCTTCCCGCCCTCCCTCTCCCATGGAGCTCAGAGGGGGAATGATCATCTCCACACCATTGCCGCCTCACCTGACACCCCCTCCCCCCCCATTGTGGATCCAAGCCTGGGGGGGGGGGCGGAATGAACTTTGAAGGAACTCTTTGGGAACAAGGGTGGGGGAAGCCCTTCTTAACATGAACTCTGAATTTTTTCTGAATTTCCCGTCCTGGGGAAGGGGGAAGAGCTTGTATTCTGACTCTCCCTTCCCCCTTTTCTCCTCCCCCCCCCCCCCCCAAGCCACAATTGGAGGGGGGGCGCCTTATCCCCCCCCTGGGGGGGGGGCTCCGCGGAGACTGAGGGGCCCTCCCCCCCCCCTAAAAAAAGAGGTGGAATTGCAGCATTTTTTCCTTTTGGGGAGGGGGCAGGAAGACTCTTGGCCCCTTCCCCCCCCCCGCTCTCTCTTTCTTGCCCACCTCTTAGCTCTTGCATCGGGCTGCGGGGCTTTGCTTTGGATAGCTTTGGGCTGTCCTCGTGGCCGCGACGGGTCTGTGCATTGTAAAAAAAAAAACCCGGAGAAGCACAGACCCGCATTTGGGTGGGTGGGAGGCCCATGCGGTGTATATCTCTTCTCTCCCCCCCCCCTCCCCTCACTTTGTAAAGGGGCCGCGTAAACCCTGTGGGGGAGTTGGGTGTTTCTCCCCCCCCTTTTCAATTTTCTCGGCTCTGCCTCCTGTTCTTGGTGTCCCTGTTTTTCTGGCTGCGCCCCTGTTCCTCGGAGTCCTTCGGAGACCCGTTCCCTCCCCCCTTTCCCCCTCCCCCCCCCCGCCCTTTCCAGATTTTCAAAAGTGTATTTTGGTTTTTCTTTTTATCTCTTTCGATTACCCCCTTTGTTTTCTTTTGCTTATAAATGAATAATAAAAAAAGTCACCAAATGGAACCGTGCTTACCGCTGCTCTCTCTCTTTTTTTTTTTTCCCCAAGGAGGTGGGGTGCGGCAGGGAGAGTTTCTCCTAAAAAGAGATTAAAAACCTTTTAGGGAGAGGCTACAATATATGGGAAGGGAGGGGTTTTTCTCAACATTTCCAGAGTCCGACCAAGAAAGGAAAGGAACATATAGTTCTTTCGTTGGATCAGTATATTCAAAATCTATCTTAACATCTCCATCTCTCTCTTTCCCTCTCTCTTATCATCTATCATTATCATCTGTCTTTATATCTTTATATTGATATCTGTCATCTGTCCATCTGTCTTTATCATCTATGTCTGTCTATGTTTATATTATATATGTTTTTATCTATCATCTATGTCTTTATGTCTCTGTACCTTATCTATATCTATGCCTATATATCATCTATCTCTTGTGTCTTTATATCGATATTTATATATCATCTATCCACTGATATCTATATCTTCATACATCTATGTCTATCATCTATTATCTCTCTTTATCTCTTTTATTTCTGTGTCTATATCTAATGTCTCTTGTCTTTATATATCTAATCTTTGTCTACATCTTGTCTATATCTAATGTCTGCCTTTATCTCTCTATCATCTCTAACTATCTAATGTCTTTATGTCTTTATCTCTGTCGTTGTCTATATCTATAATCTCTGCCTTGCTCTTTTCCCCACAGAACTTTCCAGGGGGAAAATATTCTGTCAGCCAGGCGTCTCCTCCCCTTTCGTCCCAACTCTCCACGAGCAGAAGCTACTCTGAAATATAGTCCTCGAACTTAACGACCACAAGAATCTCCATAGACAGTTGGGACCAGAATTATTTTCACTAAGCAAATCCGTTGTTATGTTGAGCCGTTGGCCGATTTTATAACCTTGTATTGCCACGGTTGCTACGGAAATCATTGCAGTTGCTAAGCAAGTCACATGGACGTTAAGCAAATCCTCCTCCCCCCCCCCTTGCTGACTGCTTTTGTAAATTGGCTGCGTAGGTCACAAATGATGATCACATGACCCCAAGATGCTGCCCACTTAACTGTGGCATAAATGGTCATACAATGAGGCATAAATGGTCATACAATGTTTCACTTGCTATCTAAAAAAATTTTTTTGGGCTGAATGGTGATCGTATGTCGAGGACTTCCTGTACATGCCAAGTGCCCAAATTTTGATCACACAGGGCACAATGGTCTTAAGTGTAAGGACCGTCCTTAAGTCATGGTTCAGTGCTAACTGAACAGTCACTAAATGAATGGTTGTAAGTTGAGGACTTCTGTTGATGTTCTTTCTGATCCCATCAGTTGGTGTGATAGATCCCACAAAATACCCCTGAAGTGCACAATTTTATGACACAGAATAACAGATTGGAAGGGACCTTGGAGGTATTCTAGTCCAACCCCCTGCTCGAGCGGACACCCTACACCATTTCAGACACACGGTTGTCCAATCTGTTAAAACCCTCCAGTGTTGGAGCACTCACAACTTCTGGTGGCAGGCGGTTGCACTGGTTAATTGTTCTCACTGTCGGGAAATTCCTCCTTAATTCCAGATTGCTTCTCTCCTTGATTAGTTTCCACCCATTGCTTCTTGTCCTGCCTTTGGAAAATAATTTGACCCCCCTCTTCTTTGTGACAGCCCCTCAAATACTGGAATACTGCTATCATGTCACCCCTAGTCTTTTCTTTAAACTAGACGTACCCAATTCCTTCCTGCAACCATTCTTCATATGTTTTAATATGCTTGAGTCTGGTTTTGCTTTCAGCTGGATTGATTTTTGAGGGATTGTGTGTCCTTGTTACTCATCACGGTCTGTCTTGGTGTTGCCTATTCCTGGGGGGGAGGGGTGTCTGACAACTCGCCACAGCCAACTCAACATGGCCAACTTGGCCAACTCTCCACAGCTCACTCACCATGGTCAACAACATGGCCCACTCAACATGGCCAATTCAACATGGACAACTCAATATGCCCCACTCAACATGGCCAACTCAACATAACATGGACAATAACACGGACAACTCACCACAGCCAACTTGCCATGGCCACTCACTGCAGGATAAGTTGCACTAACATCAAAGAAATGGTGGAACAGAATAATTGAAAAAAGGATGCAAAAGGAGGGACCGAATGAAATGTAAATGGCAAAAATTAAAATAATTTATTAATTTATTTTAAATAATTAAATTGTTCAATTGTCCTGCGGCAGATGGCTCTGGATGCAGGCCAGTGACAATTCATTTTCCCCAGGGAGCTCCCTCAGTTTGCTGAATCTTGGGGGAGGCCTCCCCCTCCCCATCTGGCCGACCAGAAACCAAGGCTCCGCCTTACCTCAAATGCCCCTTTCATTCCTCTCTCCTCCCCATCCCGCGAGCCCCTTTAACTCCCTCCCTCATCCTTGATCCCTGCTCCCCAGGCTGGGAAGCAGAAGTTGGTTGCCATAGTGATGAGATAACATCTTGTCTCCGTGGCAACTCCCCAACCGGGGACCACAAGGACGTTTCCATGGCAAAGTGATGGGTATCTCGTGCCTTCTCCCCTTCCCCCTTGCCCAACTCAGTTCGGTTTCGTGAGCCCTGGAAAGGATGATGGAGTAGGAGGTGGGGGAGAGGAGGGGGGCGCAGGAAGGGGAGAGGTTTGACTTCAGGGAGCACGAAGGAACTGACAGCTGTGCAGCAGGGCCTGCTGAGTTGCCCTGTCAATCAAACGGAGCATCCTTGTCTCTAAATCTCACCACCATCACCCGTTTGTTCAAATGACTTCCCTAGGGATACTTGAAAAGGAACAACAGGGTTGGAAGGGACCTTGGAGGTCTTCTAGTCCAACCCCCTGTTCAGGCAGCAGACCCTGAACTATTCCAGACAAATGGCTGTCCAATCTCTTCTTTAAAAAGGCCAGTGTTGGAGCACCCACAACTTCTGTTGGCAAATCATCCCACTGATTAATTGTTCTAGCTGTCAGGAAATTCCCTCTTATTTCTAGGTTGCTTCTCTCCTTGATGAGTTTCCCTCCAATTGCTTCTTGTCCTGCCTTCTGGGGCTTTGGAGAATAGCTTGACTCCCTCTTCTTTGGGGCAGCCCCTGAGATATTATTGGAAGACTGCTATCATGCCAATCCTAATCTTTCTTTTCATCAAGCTAGACAGACCCAGTTCCAACAACCGCTCTTTATATGTTTTAGACTCCAGTCCCATCATCAACTTTGTTGCTCTTCTCTGCATTCTTTCTAGTGTCTCAACATATATATTTTTTAATATTGTAGCAGCTAAAACTGAATGCACTATTCTGACTAATTCTGAACGGACTCCGGACTTGGCCAGGGGGTTGGGTTAGATGACCTCCAAGGTCCCTTCCAGCTGTATGCTTTGATGATTATGGGGAGAGAGACATCTTCGGGATCAGAGCCAGACTGGTTGTTCAGTGCCCAGAAATCCCCCGAAACCAGAAATGGGTAAGTTCTAGTCCTGCCTGGGTTGACTTTGGACCAGCCACTTTTTATCAGCCCTAAAAACCAGACAATGGCAAATCACTTCTGGGGCAGGGCGGGAACTTGGCCAGGGAATCTTTAAGAATTGGACGGCATGGAATGGAGGGGAACAATGAAAATATCATCAGGCTGGAAATACTGAGTTTCAAGTGGTTTTGAGTTCAAGGTTCTTATATCTGGAGGCAGAAAACGCAGAATAGACTTGGAATATAATCATTTTCCCCAGCGGGTGTTGGCTCTTGTTGATTCGATAAATCTTTTCCTTGCCTTTTTGTCTCCCTGATGCTGGGTGCAACATGCTAAATTTAGAGGGAAACAGAAAGATTAGCTGACATCTCTTCAAAGCCATCATGGATGAATTCATCATAACGATTGGTAGGAAATTGGTAGCATCTTTTCCAGCTAAGAAATGTTATTAAAAAGGAGTAGTCTGAGGAGCTGTAGTCCAATATATTTGAGGAAGACTGCGTTGTTAATACTAATTATAATCTACTGCCTCTAAAAGTCTATTTTCCTATACCGTAAGGTCATTTTTTATTATTTAAACAAGCTTCTGATTTGGGAAGAAAATGGAAAATTACTAATTATTATAATTAAGTATAATTATAATTACTATAACTGATTAAACATTTTATTAATAATAATTGATAATTATTAATAATAAAACAATAATTGTATTAATAATAATTACTGATTATTATGAATAAAAGTTCTGGGAGTCTCCATTAACCCAGTGATTCCAAGTCCCTACTGATTAATGGAATAAGGGTTGGAAGGGACCTTGGAGGTCTTCTAGTCCAACCCCTTGCTCAAGCAGGAGACCCTATACCATTTCAGCCCAATGGTCGTCCAATCTCTTCTTAAAAACTTCCAGTGTTGGAGCACCCACAATTTCTGGTGGCAAGCAGTTCCACTGATTGTTTTAACTGTTTCAGGAAATTTCTCCTTCGTTCCAGGTTGTTTCTCTCTTTGGTTTGTTTCTTGTTCTGCCCTCAGGTGCTTTGAATAATAGGTGGACCCCCTCTTCTTTGGGGCAGCCCCTCAAATTTTGGAAGGCTTCTATCATGTCGCCCCAAGTCCTTTTTTTGATTCAATAATGAAGACCTCCCAGATCCAATAATGTTCCAATATTTGAGGAGCTGCCACAAAGAGGAGGGGGTCAAGCTATTTTCCAAAGCACCTGAAGGCCAGACAAAGGAATAATGGATGGAAACTGATCCAGGAGAGATTCAACCTGGAAATTAAGAGACATTTTTTGACAGAACCATCAACCCATGGAACAGAAGTTGCCTTCAGAAGTTATGGAAGTCATTGGAGGCTTTCAAGAAGAGACTGGACTGACATCTGTCAGAAAAGGTGTAAAGTCTCCCGCTTGGGCAGAGGGTTGGACTAGATGACCTCCAAGGTCCCTTCCAACAATCTATTA